TTTTTGATTCGAATCATTTCTTTTTTAATATTACATGGTCACTGGTCAATGGGCATAATCTTTAATAGAAATGACGCATAAAACCAATAGAATTATTTTATAAAAGTACAGGATTTTTCTTTTCAAAATGTACAAATTGTTGTTTTTTTTATATTTTTTTCCCTGTTGTGTATTCGGTTTTCGTAATCGGGCCTCCCTCCCTCTCGGCGGAATTTCGAGGTAAAAAATTGATTGTCATTCGGCCTATGGGGCTTATGACATGATCTACTATTTTCATACAGATTCGAAAAAACTGATATTTTTCGAAAAATCGATTTTTCAACGCTCACTCAAAAAATTGTCATCAAAATGGAATTAGTCATGGCTCAAAACATTGATAACAATACCCTCTCGATTCTATCAGAATATGCTGGGGGTCGCACAATTCGTTGTTGAGTTACAGCACATTGTTTATGCGATTCAAAAGAGAAAGTCGGTTTTCTCATGATTACTGAAAGAATCATCAGTAACAGCAATTGAATCAGTGCTTGAAAAGTATATTTTTCATTCCTTATTAATCAAGTTGAAAAATGGTGAGAACAGCATCATTGCTTATCAAGTTACACAATACCGTCATGAGCTTTTTACATAAAAATCTCTATCTCTATTAAACTCAGGTATCAGTCTATTATGTTGAATACTTATTCATATTAATTTATGGTCCCGACTAACTTTTGACAGAACTTGGGTTAAACTCTGGGTAAATCCTGAATAAACCCTGATTAAATCCCGGCTATACCCTGATTAAACCTTGATTGAACCTTGATTAAACCCGGACTGAAAACGAATTCGAGTCTTGAGAGGGTCTGAATGTAGAATTATTCGACAGAGCGAATACATTGATAGAAAAGGTGGAACGATTCAGTTGCATACCAAACGAGGTTTCTTAACTGTTACCGCCATTCGTTAATAGTTAACGAATTGTGGTAATAGTTAAAAAGTCTCGTTTGGTTCGAATAAACCGTTCTATCAGTGTACTGAGACATGAAAAAATAGAAGAAGAAAATAGTGAAATAAGAATTAAAAAAAGAGAATTCATTCAGAAGCCAATTACTAATTTATATTAAACATAATACCATTCCACTTGTTTTTTTCTTGACGCCGAGAACTAGAAAAAATCAATATCCTCCCCCGTCCGTTCTGTAAAACACTCAAAAGTCACTGGCTGCGATCGCGATAAAATAATTCTTCTGCCGTTGTTTTCAATGTAATCCTCAATAATCAATTCAACAACTGTAGTAAAAAAAAGTTCAGTTAAACTCACGGAAATGAAAAATGTCAGGAGTGATTGGTTAAGCCCTCTCCCCCCTGGCCGCCCTCCGTTTGTTTAATTCCAAGTTTCTCCGGTTTTTTCTTAATGATTTTTTTCCACGCTTCTGTGGCACACCCATTCATATTCCCTCTCAGCCAGCCGACACGAAATATAATGTGCCCCCGCCTATAACTCGCCGGCTTGTAGTCACGTACGTGACCGCATGAACCCAATTGTTGGGAGTGTGAGTATATGTGAGAGTGGAGGAGACATTTTTTTTTATTTCTGTTTCTTCGGGCACACGGACGTCCAAGAATTCCCCGCGTGTGTAGCCCAACAGCCCTTATGCAAAGAGAGATATAAAGAAAATATATAGAAGAAATGGAATATATGGGGGAACAAAATAAGAGTGTAACAACGATAATTTAAGTAACCTCATGCATACTGTTTTTTCAACTGCGAAGAAAATGGGGAGAAAACAAGAATATTTCACGGCACTCGGGGCTTAAAACTGTGATGAAGAGGGAATATTTTTGGGGGGCTGAAAAAATTGTTGACTAGGAATTGAGGATAACGTAAATTGTGAGTTATAAATGAGTCACCTCGGGATGTCTTTAAATTTGTTGCAGATCCTCAGGTTGTGTACCTCAGTATTTCACGTTGTCTGCAGAATTTCTTAGTCCTCAGTGACATAATTAATGTGGGCTTATAATAATTTAATTTATGTATTCAAAATTCAATTCGAAATAATAGAACACGATCAATATATGGGAATCAACGCTATTGAAAAATACTCAAGATAATATTAATAATTTTCAGCAATAACAAAAATGCAAAAATCAATGTGGAAATTCTCAAACCGTTATTCGTATCGATCATGGCAATATCACGAATTTTCTCGATCACCAATAATGCGATCCAAATCACGACAAACCTTAAAATGTTAAATAAATGATAAATATTATATGCATGACAATTAGCGAAACATTTATGAATATACTTTGAAAATAATCTTGAAACTGAATTCAATATTCTTTAGAATCAAAATCAAAATGTATGAATATTCATGGAAACAAATTAATTCAATTAATTCAATTAATTCTCGTTAGACATTTATATGTCTTTCGGGTAAATACATTCGTTCTACAGAGAATTATATGAGGCTCCGGTTTTATCAAGTCAATGTTATTGAGTAAACGGAGAGAAATTTTTGATAAAAATTATCCTACCGTTCTATAAAAGTGTATCATGAGTCATCGTTTCCTCATTTCTATCCCGAAATTTAGTAAAAATTAATATATGATGATCAAATTTTATTCGACGTTTGAGAAATTTTATCCTGACGCATAGCAAATTTTACCCTTCCAGTCCAATAATATTTATGTAGATAACAACCAAAATTCTAGAACGGTTGGTAAATTGTACCCTACCGGTACAGTAACTTTTACTCTGCCGGCACAGTAATTTTTATTTTTATCAGAGTAAAATTTCTCTAACGTAGAATAAAATTTGATCATCATATATTAATTTTTACTGAATTTCGGGATAGAAATGAGGAAATGATGACTCATGATACACTTTGTCAAGTCAAGTTGACACTGATACACTGTCATGACATGATACACTGTCAAGTTGGTTTATTCCCTTCACGTGGAACAACGTTTTTCGGCAGAGCTAATTTTTTCCCCCGTATGAGTCATCTGATCTCAATAATTTCGTTCAACTTCTACGTGATTCCAAATGAATTTCATCAAAGATTGACACAATGACTTGAAAATAAGCTAGTCAACCCCAACCGAGTCCCTCTGCAAGCTCTCAATACCTCTTTCGTAAATCAATTTAACAGTTTTTTCAAGCTGATTCTCCGTTCGCCCAAGACCGTCTCATCTTTTACCTTTTCTACCCAACACTCATCGCTCTCTTCTCTTTTCCCCCATGTCTTCGAACCTAAAACCAACATTCAGGATGTGTGATTGTGTGCAACTGTGCCAGTGAGTGTAGGTTCGCCAACTTCTCGAAATGTGGTTCGCATTTGGGAGGGCGAGAGGGAGGGAGTTGAAGGTGCTACCGACAATGGCCCCTAATCTAGCTTGGGTTTGTGTGAAGGGATAGGTAACAAACCTTATTCACAGTGGAAAAGTTTTTTGTAACCACAAATTGAATTCACCGTGTGCTGGACTTTTTGGTTTCAGGGTGGAGTGGATGGAGCAGAGGGGTGAATCCAAATGTGGTGAGGAAAAATTTAACCGAGTTGAGACTAGAATGAGGTCGTAATGATGATATTTATTTATTTAATGAATACAGAAGTCAAACAGCCGAGGCCAACTGCATGAACAATAAGTTATGCAGAAGTTATTGAAACATGAGATTTTCTAATTCAGAATATCAAGTGGATTGATATATTCAAGAAAAAAATCGATACAAAATAGGCAGTTGTTTTCAAACGACTGAAAAGTTTTTACAATTCGTCTAATGTCTGACAATCACTCACTTTGCCGGTGTAATTTAATAATCTTTCATGACGGTTTCATGACGGATGGCTTTTCCGCACCCTTTGTGGAACCAGAAATCTGAGTAGTACATGCTGTACGATTCGGACAACATCGCCATGGCGTACCATGACAATGGCTCCTCCACATCCTCCGCTGTTTATCACACGGCGACAACTGAATTTATCTATTTATTTATTGAATACAATAGTCAAACAGCCGAGGCCAATTACACGAATAATAAGTTATGCAGACGTTATTGAGACATGAGATTTTTTAATTCAGATGATCAAGTGGATTGATACACTCAAAAAAAATTACTTCTGATCAGTAGAAGAAGTACTTCTACCCAGTACCAAGGGGTTGCTGGGGAAAAGGCAAGTTTTGTACTTCCTCGAAGTCACATAAGAACTAGATGCAAGTATCACGCGTCAAGTACCTGGGTACTTGTGAGAAGTACTTCGGTACTTGTCACAAGTACTTTTGTTACTCGGAACAAATAAAAAAATTACTTGTACTGAGTACCTGGCTGGTTCTCTTCAACGACAAGTACCAACAGAACTCAATATAAGTAGCAATAGTGCTCAAACCCAGTACTCATAATTTTTTTCAGGACTTCATTTAAGATTACAAAAGAAGATCCAAATGTTGGAGCACAAGTGAGCACACAGAAAAATCTAAAGGTAACATACGTTTTTGAAACGGTAATTCACGTTTTCAAAAACATAATTTACGATTTTACGAGTAAGGCTCGGACAATATTGCCATGGCGTCCCATAGCCACGGTCCGTGGAAGTCCGTGTTCACATGACTCTTGGGCAATAACTCGACGACAGGGCCATATTATTCTTCAAGAAAGGAGCACGACAATTCCCTCTTGATAAAGAGCACCCCCAGAAAACTCCTCATTCCCCTCAAAAGTCATCATTCTCCCACTGGACACGCTACAGCACAACCATCGAACTCCAAAACTCCCCGAGAATCCCCTCACAAACTCAAAAAAAACAACGCATCTGAATTTCAAAACACCACCTACGAGCGACCCAACGAAGAAGAAATCACCCAAAGCCGAGAACGGGTAAAAATTAAGGGGGGATAGCGCGGGGCTAGTGGATTGGACCGTTGAGTGTGCGCGAAGTGTACGGGGTAGCTCTGGAGTCTCGCCGCTCCAGTCCCTCGCGCATGTGTCTGCCTGCGAGACATAACCGTCACAGCTTCGCGCGGCGACACTCAGTCTCGTTCCTTCCAATCTCGCGGAGATATACGGACAATTATCCTGTCAGCGGCTCTTCAAATACACCTCTCGCCTCGTGTGTCTGTTGCCCGGTAAATTAGTGAACACTAAAATCCCCGAATAAAAATTCCCCCCCCCCTTATAATTTTTTTAATTAAAAAAAAACTCCCACTCTAATTACCCACTTTAACTCATTGAAGTGACGATGAAAATTCATGTTTGAGTGTGTGAAAAAAAAATTCCGGCAGTTGCTGAATAAAAAAAGGAGGTGATGAACAAGTGGTGACAGATTGCCCGGCAATAGAGAATTCAAACTGACGTGCGCCCTGCGGCCCGCCGAGACACACGTCAATTTCGCTAATGGACATTGGACGAAAGTCACCAGTCCCCGGACAGTTTACAATGTCCCTGTGAAATCGTGCAGTGTTGATAGCGCTGGAACGCAAAAAAAATATTAATGCTCCTTCCATGGGAGAATGTCTTCAACTCTCGTGCTGAGGGCATCATTAATGAGTAAAAATTCATCAGAGAGTGCAGGGCTTTAATGAGGACACACTGAAAAATGGGAAATTTACGGTTGGCATATATCGCTGTGGTGATCATTACAGTAATTACCGGTGAGTTGAATTTTAAAAAATTTCACCCTCAGTGAAAAAAAAAGTTATTGCGGAGTTTATTGAAATGTCACGTGGTCATGCCCGGGGTAAATTGAATTATAGTTGAGTGCTCATGTGAACGAAATTTTCGAGTTGATGGAGTTTTCCAGGGGGAGAATATTAAATCCAGTGGGCGCTCACTCTCGACCGAACTAAATCGTCTCGGTGTAAGAGAGGAAAAGTAATGTTCTCGTTGATCCGGGAAATCTCGGTGAAATCGAAAAAATTTTTGCCTCGCAAAAGGGCAGTGGAGTTAATCCTCGAGGGGGGCGAGTGTCACTTGCATCGTATTTGTTTGAGTGGTGGCGGGCGATATTACAATAGCGCGAGAGCATGCGAATCCCTGAGCTGTTGTTTGCACCGCGAAGTAGAGGCGATGGAGGGTGCGAGCTAGTTTCCCTTTGCGCGGAAATTCAAATCGGCTCTCGGCCGGTTTCAGGTGGGGCTTCTGCATTCGTCGCGGGCGCTGGCGAACACTTTTTGATTGAACTCGTGAGAGAAAAATTAGTCCTTCGGGTTGTTTCAGGAGAAAACGCGATTTGAGATTAATATTCTCGTTTTTTTAAATTGAAAACTGTTTGAATTGGAAATTTAAGGGTGAGAAAATTAACCGGAATATTCCTGATTTCTATTAATTTTCGTGGAATAATTGAAATGAAATTTACAGTTTTCACCAATTCTTCCATAAAATTTGGAATTTTTTGTGACGAAAAATTGTGATAAAAATATCCGAGAATTGCAGCGGAAATGCAAACAAATTGAAGTTCCAAATTATAGCACGGCTTCAGCTGTCCTGAAAAAATTTCATTTTACCAAGATAATTTTATCCGAAACAACTAGCCTTTAAAATTCCGTCATCAGCTGGTAAGTTTAATTAAAAATACAACTGAATAACGAGTTCCACACTCAAATGCAAAGTAGAAATTGAAGCAAAATACTAATGCAGTGTATTCTATCACGCGTATCCATGCCAGGTGTCGGGGAACTCAGCAGCGATATTCAACCCCCATTTCGTATAGTACGAACTCAAGTCTAGCGTGAATGACTTCATCATTGGGCTTGGGTTTTACCACCTACTATTTCACCATCGCCAGTGTAGTACCCCAACGGGCGTTGGATATCGTCTCTTACCCCAGTGTGTGCATTTACGCCCTCACATAGTTTACGATGAGGCAATAAAGAGACCCTCTCTCAGGCGTAGATGGGTGTAACCTATTCTCAATAGGTATATAGTTGTTTCAAAACGGCTCAAAACTTTTTACGATTCGTCGAATGTTTAACAATCACACACTTTGTCGATGTAATTTAATAATCTGTCATGACGGTTTCATAATGGATGGCTTTTCCACACCCTTCGTGGAGCCGGAGATCTGAGCAGTACATGCTGTACGCCTCGGACAACATCGCCGTGGCGTACCATAGCAATGGCTCCTCCACATCCTCTGCTGTTTATCACACGGCGACAACTGAATTTATTTATTTATTTATTGAATGCAATAATCAAACAGCCCAGGCCAATGACATAAATAATAAGTTATGTAGAAGTTATTGAGACATGAGATTTTTTAATTCAGATGATCAAGTGGAATGATACTCAAAAAAAATTACTTCTGATCAGGCAAATGTTGTACTTACTCGAAGTCACAAAAGAACTGGATGCAAGTATCATGCGTCAAGTATCTGGGTACTGGTGAGAAGTACCTCGGTAATTGTCACAAGTACTTTTGTTACTCGGAACAAGTAAAAAAATTACTTGTAATGAGTGCCTGGCTGGTTCTTTTCAAAAGTACCAACAGAACTCAATATAAGTAGCAATAGTACTCAAATCCGGTGCTCATAATTTTTTTCAGGATTTCATTCGAGATTACAAATGAAGATCCAAATGTTGGAGCACAAGTGAACACGCAGAAAAATCTCACGGTAAAATACGTTTTTGAAGTGGTAATTCGCGTTTTCAAAAATGTAATTTACGATTTTCTCAAACGAGTAAATTACGCTTTTCAAATCGTAAAGTACACTCAGAATAACGTGAATTATGATTCTCAACATTGGAAATCACTTCGGTTTGGAAAGCACCCATAAAAATCACAATCTACTGATTTTTTCCTGCAAAATATCTTCACACTGAACACTTCTATTTACAGAAACGAGACCCAGCGCGCTGTAATTGTAACAATCATAATTGAAAATCTCAAAAATCAATTAAGCATTAATTAAATTTGCCACCTCAGACGACTGGAACCAATGAGAAATAAGTGTGACAGACTTGCGAGATATCGATAGTTATCGACTTTAAGTGTATGTTCTTCTTAGAATAGGATGCGCGAGAAAGCTTATTTTATCCGTCGATAATATTCGCTTTTCTCAATGAAGTAATCAATTGAAGGTACTGAAATTAAGTCATAAAAGTACTTGAGAGAAGATCAAAAATGACTTTTCACCAGTACCTTTGGTACTTGTGAAAAGTACAAAAAGTACTGGCAGAAAGTAGTGAAGCTACTTCCTCCCAGCACTATTTCTCCTTGATCGGCAGAGGTGGTACTTCACTCAAGGATACAAAAAGTACTTGCAACGAGTACTTTTCGAACTTTTCACAAGCGAACTTCCCCCACGTACCAGTCGATACTGATGAGAAGTACATTTTTCTTTGAGTGTAAAATTCCCAGGAATAATTAATAGATCATTCCTAATTACTTCCATTTAAGCAAAATCCACATTACTCAGTTTTAAATGACTCAGCCGACGGTTTTTTCTTCGCAAAAAAGAAACAATACTCGAAATGACTGATGGCAAAGGGTTAGGGGCAGCCTAATGCGTGTGTTATGCCACGTGACATACTATATATAGAAAATGATACGGTCCGGCTGGCGAAGGATATGGCGACACGCCACTACCCGTTCCACCTCAGCGACTCGGGGATGCCAGCGTCAGACATGGAATGTCAAAACATATACAACATACGTATGCACGACCGGGGAACCCTCGGTGATGCTGATCGTAATCTGGTGACTCGTATTATCGAATGAAAAAACAGTACATGTGGGGATACAGTCTAGTTAACATGAGGTTTTAATTTTTGACTTTTTGCTTCTCTGGTGAATAATTTTTACCATTTCGGGGGGACGGATATTCATGATTAAGTTTGACGGGTGTTTTTTTGGTTATTAGACAGACACGAAAAAAAAATCGTAAATAAAACTAGTACAATCCAAAATAAACTATTTTATTTTAAAATGAGTTGAATTCCATCGTTCTCTATAGGAATTTTCTGTAGAAATTTCTAGTGATAAATTTTTTTTCACTCAATTTGTTTCTCTTTTCATGAAAAAAATCCAAAAGAAAAACGTCAGAAGTCTGACGCCAGGAATTTTCATAAAAATATCTCATTAGAATTTGTTATAAAGTAAAATCAAATTTTCTTGATTTTTTTAGAATATTTTTCATTCAACATTGAAAGTTGAACAGAAATGCAATAGAATTTTCCAGCGAATTCGCTAGGTTTTTCTATGAAATTTCATCGCTCGTGGGGGGATACAAGAGTATGGAATAATGAGGAACCTTTTGTGATAGTAATAACCTTCGAGAAATTACCCATCAACCCTTGAACGAGTGTCATCTCTAGGTTAGGGATGGCAATAACGTTATCTCTGTTCATTGCGAGGGCTATAGCCCTAAAGTTTCATCTGATAATGATTGATGATCACAGTTATGGATTTTCGGCTAAAATTTCGGGTACATTTTTTGGAAATGTTTAACTCATTATAGTTTCTACGTGAAAAGTCATAATTTTATGGGAAATTCACTGCTGTAAGGTCGGTAGGAACTGAGAACTTCCAAATTTTTTTTTCTGCGTAAATATTCTCATTTAGCAGACCGTATGCTTCGGTGAGTTAGGTGTTGCTCCGGCGGACATCCGAGTGCAGCTGCGTTTAGCGCGGTTAGTACTTGAATGGGTGATCGCTTAGGAACACCTTCGCCCAAAAATTTCGGAAGGCAGGCACCGTGTATTGGCCTAATGTGCCCCTCTAGTCAGTGTAACAGAAGGGCACATTAGGGCTCTGCATAACTCGGGTTTTCCATGGTTTCCCATGCAGTCCTAGCCCGAATGGGATACAGTTAAGAGTAAGACGGCCCATGGTAACGCAGCTAAAAATCAGAAGAGAGAAGTGGAAAAGGCAAGGCAGATGAATGGAGAGCCTATAAAACTGTAGTAACGGTAGTAGGAAAGAAATATGAATAAAAAACAAATATATTCTCATCATCGGAGAAGTATTAGGAAAACATTCTCCGATGAAGTTCGGTCGATGGACGCCCGTGTCGACAAAGGTTTTTCATGGTTTCCCTTGGTCACCAGAAGAATCTTTACGTGGGGTACAGCTCCTGGGGTACAATGCGACACGGTTGAAGAGGAAGTCGGCCCATGAAACCGCAAAACATGTAAAAACTCGAATAGGGTATATGTGGTAATAAATAAATACAAATATATTCTCATTAAAATTTTTTAAAACAATTCTCATTTTAAGGGGAGACTACTATGAGTTTTAAGTCCCGGTCTATTGGAATGGAATTTCTCATAGATTGAAGGAAAAAACTAATTGTTTATTGGTCGTTTATCCCGTAGACGCTTAAAATGTTAAAAATAGTCTAGGGCCCCCAATTTTTGAGTTACAGAAGTTTTTTTTCAAAATTTGTGGAAAAATATATGCAATTTCAATTACGAATTAGTTTTTTGAAATTTAGCTCCGACACAGCTAATTTCGTTATTATTTTAATAAAAACTTGCACCATTCATGTACAATAGCCCGAGAAATATTTCTGAAAGAATCGAGAATATATTTTAAATATTTTAAGGATAATTTTTCTGGCCATTTTACATGAACGGCGCAAATTTTTATATTCAACAAAACAAAATTAGCTGTGTAGGAGTCGAATTCCAAAAAATTAATTCGTAACTGTTATTG